ATCAACTTCATTGGGATCGTTGTTGCGATAGGTTCTCCGGCGATAAATTTTTAAGTAATTATAGATTTGTTAGAACTTGATGATTTTTTATACATAATATCAAGTAACTATTACTTATTATAGTTAATCATAAACAGAAAATATCAGAGACAAATAAAACTAATCGCAGCAACCAAAAGTATCCAAGCTTACATGGTCAGATATCATACTCTCAGCATCGCAATAAGAAAGTTAGTACTTATTTTTTGACTTCATTGTCGTATTTATATGTTTGTGATTCTTGTTCTGGGTGGCACATCTTGCAGCTATAGTGTGCCGAAATCTTTTAAAGTTATTTTTTTACAGGTTTTGATTTTTGGATCATATGAAAAATAAGTCGTTATGCTGCCAAAATTTAATTAGAATTTAAGAATTTTAACAAATGTAATTTATTTGACAGGCCAGTACAGAGACCCAAGAGCCAATGTCTGCCATAGACAATTGGGCGGACATGCATCGTCGCGGGGACTCTTGGGTTAATACCCATGTAGAACATACTTTCGTAAGTATTTTTACTTTTCATATTAAATTTTTTTATATTGAAATAGTGGTTTTATAACACGTAAAAATAATTATAATGTCTTATTATGTAGAACACTCTGGAGGAGGAGAGACAACCCCCCCCCCCTGACGAGCATGGGGTTTTGGAGCAAGTTAGGACATAAGATAGGAGTGGGTCCGACGCTCTCCCAAAAGCATTACTCTGGGGCTTCTCCTTCATCTAGTGGTTCATTCTCAGACGCAACATAATCGGCTCAACCTGACCCACGTGTGGATCGTTATTTAAAGAAATCGTACCGGGAACAAATGAAGATTTACGACAATCAAATGAAGATGTTAGAGTTGGTGTCGAAATTGTAGCCCAACATCTAATTACCTATGATTGATCGTCCAAAACCAGTTGACCTAAACGCTCTTGATCTGCCTTCTTCAGATGATGACAGTCCTAATGATGATTCGGTTGTTGGCGATGCTACAAACTTAGACGATTAGTTTCGTTATATGTACTATTTTATTTTTCACATTATTTAGACTTTTATATTTTTTTGAACATTATATATACACTTCATGTAGTATTCATAATATATTTTATAAATTTATTTAGATTTATTGTTTTTAATATTAATTTATATTTCACTTTTAATGTATCTTAATAAATTATATTCAATATGTAACATAATAATGTTTAATTAAAATTATTAAAAATTAATTAATTGCCATTTTTTAAAAATTATAAACAAAAAATTATTTTAGTTTTTTGCGACGACTTTTTTAGACTTGTCGTCGCAAAAAAGTAAGATTATTTGCGACGACATTTTGAAAAATGTCGTCGCAAAAAAGATCATATCACGAGAATTTTACAACGGCGTATTAGCGACGCTTATCGTCGCAAAAACTATTATTTGCGACGACACTCGTGTTTTTGCGACGACAAAAAGTCGTCGCAAAAACCCCTTTTTCTTGTAGTAGTGTCGAGTAATTTTCCTACTACGGGTAAATAGACTACAATCAAGATAAGTACTTCTCTCGGCTGCGACATGTTTGTTAAAAATCCTAAAAAAATGAGTTTAACGGTGTAATTATGTGATAGATATGATTATTTATATGGTTGATGTTCTATGAGGAATTGTATGATGATGAGATATGAGATTGATGTTTTACGATGTTTATTCCTCATTGATTGATGTAAGAGATGAGTCCTATGCTATCAAACATGAAACATGTTTTGGAGGCATATGTTGGGAGAGAGTCCCACTTGCACCTGAGCCGCGAGAGGCCTATATGATGTTGCCTCGTTAAATGTAGGGTCGCTCCCTTATTCTTAACGCGGTTGTGCGCAATTGTTTCGTTGCCTAGTGTCCAATTCAATAGAGAAGGTAATAATAAGTACAACAATAATACATTGATCGTAAAACAGCTAGAGATGAATGATTGAGTAGATGGGATAGTAATGTGCTTTTATGATGTTTAGATTTTATTAAATGTTACAACTAAAACTAATGAGTAATTGTTTTCTGAGATTGTGGATATACTTACTAAGGGTGCATTTGGTAGATGGATTCAGAATCATGATTTTGGATCCTGGTTTAGAATCAGTGTTTGTTTACAGTGCTTCTGAATCATGATTCAAAATCAGTGTTTGGTTTGGATGATTCTGCATCATGATTCAGAATCTGATGTGGTGTTTTAAACTAGCTCAAATCATGATTCTAAAACTACTCCCCTCTTGATCCAAGGTGATTCAAACCCCTAATTTTGAATCATAGTTTTAAAATCATGATTTGAACTCAAAATCATGAATCATGGTTCTAGTTCTAAAATCATGATTAGAGTCACCATGGTTTAAATCCTCGTACCAAACGAACCCTAAGCGTTTCGCTTGTATGAGATTTTTGCATGTTGCAAATAAGGGTAAGAACATGGCTTGATGGTGGAGGAGACTTGACTTGGATGTGCTTGCATTGGCGGACACGGGGTTCTCAAAATAGGAAAAGAGTTCTTGAAACATTTATTTTAAGTTTTGATTATGTTTCTTTCATTAATTATAGTTGAGTTTATTTTATGATGTTTAAAGACTTAGGTTTTCTTTTTTATAGTATTTTGAAAAGTTATTTGACATTTATTTATTTTTAATAAAAGACTACCGATTTATGTTCAATTTCTAAGAAGAATTTTATTTCGTATTTTAAAAGTGTTTCACCGAGTTTTCATTATTTTATATACATTTTATATGTATGTAGATGATCATAATTCTGCTGTACGCGTTTAAAATGTTGTTGTTTTCCGAATTTACACTGATAATAGCTGTCTAAAACGGTATTTAATAGCAATTTCTTTTGAATTTTTCTTGATTTTTCATTTCCCTTGAACTAAATTTCACGATATAATATTCCACTTCTAATTTTTCTCACATTTAGTTTATTAGATCTCCAAATTATGATCATAATAGTCAAATATTTTTAGCCTAATAAATTTTCTACAACGTGTTTATTAGTTTATATGCTCTCGATCTGGTGGTGGGATCAATGCTTGACCAGTCAAATATTTTTTGATAGCTTGTTCAAATCAAAGTAATTTTGGTTGGCCATGGATCATGATCATATGGTCTTTTCCAATCTTTTTTCTCAAATGGAAAATTTGCTGCTAGAAAAAAACTAGATTCATGCACCCAATTAAGCAAAGCAAGAAAATCGTGAATTTCTATCTGGTGGCGCCAGTCATTTTGCAATTTCTTGCTGTCATTTTCGCTTTATATAACGTGTACAAACTCAACTTTTGATTTAATTGTCTTGATTTGGAAAATAATGATAACAATTATACACGTAGATTGGAACCATCCAAATATCCAAAATTTAATAGTAGCTTCCTAATAACTACAGTGCCGTTATGATGTGTTGGAGTGAAACTAAACACATAAAATTCTTCACACATCTTTCTCACGACACCTGCAGTGACTTTCAATTGATACCTGATAGAGATGTTGGGGATCGAATTTCAATTTTTGCACTTGTTAAAGTAACATTGAGGGTTACTTTTGATCTTCAATCTGTGTTCATTGATATTGAGGTTCGGTGATGAGAGGAGAATATTCTCAGCATCGAAAGAGATACACGTCGCGTGATTCGATCCCTTGGCAAAACCCCCCAACACGACGGATGTCATGTCAATCAAAGAAATGAACTTCATTGCTTGAGAGTCAGCTTCTTAGGTTGTCAATCTCTTGCGGAAAACAGTTGTGATCTTAGCCATTGAAAATAGTAGGAGAAGTAGCTCAGCACACATGTTGTGGCACAGTAATTCTTGTTATAAAGAGACGTTTGGTTCATGGATTCAGAATTATGATTCAGAATCATTTTCATTTTACGTATATTTTTTGTGAGAGAAAATACTGTAGCGAGTCACGAACCATGATTTGAATTATGGCATGATTAATGAAAACTCTCTTGCAATTCAAAGTGGTTATTTTCAAACATGTCTTTTGAAAGGTAAAGAACCCCTATTTTCTTTCATCGAATAGTTCAAATGTTGGGGGGCTCTTTTTTTCTTACAAGACTATGTACCACAAGATCTCTCTTGAATTTTGCTCATTTAAGTTAGTGGGAAGTAGTGGATTTTAAAACTTAATGAAGTTAAACTCGAAGACTCAAATAGGAATGCAATTTGCCTAGAATGGGAAAAAAAATAAATAAATAAATAAATAAAGGTCCAACTATTGGAAAGATGTTGGTTCACTTTCAATTTATTATTTTTTGGGAAGAAAGAAAGTTCCAAGGAAATTATTCAATTAGAAAATGATTCACTAAGCGTTAGTTTCAACACATCCCACTAATTGGGCAATTGGAAAAATAAGAAGAATATGTCCAGGTGGAACAACTACCATTTCAAGTATATGAAAAATGTGTGGCTCAACATTTAAAGATGTTTATAATGTGTCTTGAAAAAGGAAGAAAAGAAATGAAAAGGCAAAAAAATGCTCGTGGATCATAAATCAAGATGCGTATAGAAAGTGTCTTTTTCTAACAAACACTACAATGGAGCCTCTATTAATGGGATGGTCAAATTAAAAATGGTCATCATATGTGTCACGCAACTTGTAAGAGAAAATTAAATTCAACGATAATTTGTAGGAGAAAATTTAGGGTGTGTTTAGAACACGTTTTAAAATGATTTTATTTTTTGTATGAAAATGAAAACGTTTTTAATCTCAGACAGAAATTATTTTTAAAAATGCGTTTAGTAGTTCTATCAAAAGATTGTTTTCAGTATAAAAAATCTATTAATGGTTTTCTCCGAGAGAGGAGAAAACGGAAACAAACAATGAAAAACGACTAATTTCTCTCTCATTTTACACTAAACTAAAAAATCGTTTTCATTTCCGTTTTTTATCTTTAATTGTGCCAAACACCGTTTTTCTCATATTTTCATGAAAAACATAAGCAAAAACAACTCCAAATACAGCCTTAATTCAACAATTTGTAATCACTTTTTAACTTCTGCAAATAACTTACAATCACGAGGACTGAGAACTATGAATCTACCCAGACTTCTAAAACTTGACAATAACTGATCAGTGTAGATTTACAGTTTACAAGAATCCTGTAGTTAGCTGTTGTATTGCCACAATTCATCCATGTTCCACATGCTGGCTGAAATATCATTCTCGGCCCAATTGCTGCCCGCCACGTGGCAACCGCCCACAGGATTCTGGAGAACCCCATCTGCTGAAACACTTGTCTGGTTAAAAACACACATATCATAGTCATTCTTGTCACCACCATAAGAGCAACCTTCGACAAATGTAGTGTTGTAATCATTGTTAAGTGCCATTGGCTGAGGAAAAGCACTATTTGGGTACTCTGAGAAGTGAGAAATATGTGACATGTTTATTGATATGTTCTGATTTCCATGCCCGGAAACTACTTTTTGCGATGATGATGAATTTTCTGCTATTGTTGGTGAATGGCTTTGTTGAGAAGCAATGTGAATAGGCGTAGGAGCGGTTGGATTGTTTTGGATTGCCGTGCCTGAAAAAGTTGACCCTTCTATCTTCTGAATCAGTCTTGGCATCCAAAACCGCCGAATAATATCCTGAAATGCTGCGCTTCCGATGTCGATTTTGAGATGCTTAGCTTGTTTCTGCACCCTTGTTCTCCAATAGTTCTTGATTTCGTTGTCAGTTCTTCCTGGTAAAAACTGTGCTATCTTTGACCACCTAATAATAATGCAAATGGATGGAATTATGGAAATGAATAAAAGACTAAAAAAAACTTGATATCTCTTCTTTCCTATATTTGTGAGGTTGTGTTTGATTAAATCATTGTTACTATTGACAAAAAAGTTCGACAGCAATCGTGAAAATGAAAAATAAAAAATAAATCGGCAATCAATCAAAATTACTTTGTGTTAAGAGGGAATATTAATGCAAAAGATGCTTATCATTTCAAATACAAACTTCTTGTTTTATTCCAAGAAATTTCTTTTTTTTTTGTTGAAATGATTCCAAAGAACTATTTATATTCTATCAAGTTAGGAATATGAACAAAAGCTTACTACTTTTGTTAGCTTTTGTGGTTTTGAATTAGCATCATTTCGACTCAAATTCGGGGTCAGAGTGAATATTTTGATTGAATTCTTCTAAGGAAACATGGCAAAGACTTAATAAAAAAAAAAATTGAAAATAGCACCTGTTGCCCCATTTGGAGTGAAGGTCAAGAATCAAGAGTTGTTCCTCAGGAGTAAGATTCCCACGTTTTACATCTGGTTTCAGATAGTTTAGCCATCTTAATCTGCAACTCTTCCCAGTTCTCCTTAATCCTAAACCAAAAGGAACCGACTAAAATTATGATTTTACAAAATATATTATCCAGAGGAGATACAAAATAAGCCAAAGCATAAAACAAAAAGAAGAGAGAGAACAGAGTTTATAATCCTCTAGCAGAAGAGAACATCTAAAACAACGCGTTTTAGAAAACCAATTACAAAAGTAGCAGAATCTGAAGCACTCCGCTCCCCCACGTACTCATTCTTTTTTTTTTTTTCCGGCTTACATTTAACGTCGGTTTTAGAAAACCGACGCTAAAAGTGACTAAAATCCCGCCTTCTAAAATATTTTTTTTGTAGTAGTGTAAAGAGAAAAATGTATCGGTTTTAAGTACACACCTGAACGTTTTGCGAGCAAATTCCATCGGCCCTCGCCGTGCCGAGCTATGTAGTGAATGAGAAGCGAGTCTTCTTCAACAGTCCAAGGCCCTCTTCTGAGCTCATTAGTGTCATCTTCACTAGAGCTAGTGTTTGAGCTTTTAGTAATGTTAGTAGACATAGAAGCTAAGCTCTCTTTAAGAAAAGTGTCACAATACCATATGTTATGCGCAAATGCATGGAAGAAAAGGTTTATTAAGGTCTTTGAACCTAAAGTGAAGCAAACACAAGTCAGCAGCCAAAGCTTTATACAAGCACAATTTCAACGGTTAAGCCTCTCCAAATAGTGGTATATTTCCAAGTAAACAATTATCTTTCCAAAAGTTTTAACTTGTGGAAATATATTATATATATATATATATATATATATAGAGAGAGAGAGAGAGAGAGAGAGAGAGTTTCCAACGAGCTTCCATAATTCTAGATTATTTATTGCAGAATAAAATGCAGCCTAAACCAAAAATTTTTGTGTAGTGGGTAATTGACTTAAAACTTTTTAGTGCAATACCTTAATTAGCTGGTTAATTATTGGTTAAAAAAAAGACCCAGAATAATAGACGTACGTTTCTGTTTTAATTACCCTTTCTAGTACCTTTGAAGTATATAACAAAACCTAATCAAATATAAGATATTCTTCTTATCATCCTTTTCATTTTAATTGTTTTTTGCACTACAAATCAGCAAGAAATATACACTTTTAGGTACGAAACATGCGATCATGGCTAAAAACAAAAACAAAAAATGCTTACTACGAAAAGTGATGGAGCCAGGACTTTGTTTAAATGAAGCACAATTGACTCATTTTAAAAATGTTAAAAACATTATAGTAATTTATAGTTTTTATATGGAACAATAGGAATATAAACTTTTATTACTAAGCGAACATCGTTCAATTTTCTCAAAAAAACAATATTCATAAATTTCTAAATTAGAAAATTTTCTGTTGTACTAAAATTTATAAACTTTATATGTGAAAGTTAAAACAAGAGGAATTCTAAAAAAGCTATCAATAAAGTAACACTAATTTATTTTTATCACTGTTATTAAATTTATCTTACGCTACTAATAATTTGTAAATTATCTTTTTATAACTTAAAGATTATCTTTCAAAACCTGCAGGTTATATTTCGTAACATGCAGGTTATCTTTCGTAATCTGCTGACTATCTTTCATATCCTGCAGGTTATTTTTTGTATTGATATCAAAATTTTGTGTAGTGAGAATAAATAATAAGTTAGAAAAAACAATTGTTATACTAGAAATTTTCTCTTAAAACAACATATAAAATTTCACCGGGTGCATTGTAATTAAAAAAAATTTAACGAGGCCGACATAATTGATCAATTTAAAAAAATAATAATAATAAAATCAGGGCATGTATTTAATACTAGTGCAAGATTAGTGCGTAATTATATGAAGCAATCCTAAAAGTCCGACATGTCTCCAATAAGACCCAGGAAGTGAGCCCTACTGTTGGGCCGAACCCCACCTGATGGGACCCAAACACAAGGATAAATTTCCATTGGGCAAAAAAGGATTTTTTTTTTTTTATTATATAGCATGGCATGATTGGCCTTATATTCTATTCACCTTCGGTGATTCTTTATTTATTTAGGTCCCGTTTATTTTACCGATTTGAATTTAAAATTTGAGTTTTTATATAGTAAAAAGTTTTTAAAAACAGTCATATTTAATTTTTTTATTACAGTAAAAAACTCACACATAAAATGACATCTCAACTCAAATTAAAAACTCAAATTAACGAATTAAACGGGCTCTTAAAATAATTCCATCTCACCTGTTATAGTATTACCATAGTCCAATCAATGTTATTGATTAAAATTGTAAGTACAGGCTGTAAAAACAAACCGATGAATCAGATGATGTCTTAGAAAGTTTGATAGAGTTTTATTCTTATACTCAAAGAAAGATATTATAGAGCTCTAGACTAGACCCTAATAAGCGCCAAAACATTAGGTGAAAACAAAACAAAACAAAAAACAAAAAAAAAAGGTACCAATTAAGTCAGTTGTCAAATTCCTTTTGTGCATTGGTACATATGGTTAATGGGTCATTCAATTCTCCCAAGTTTTCTTCTTTCTAGATGTTGACTTTAAAATTGGTGAAGATAAGAAACGTGCTTGACTGAACAAAATATTTGTAATTAATATATGACCCTTTTTTTTCCATAGAAACGGGGCTCTTCTTGGTGTGTTTTCCTTAAGAGGGGCGGCAAATAGAGGTTGCTAGGAATCTTAGAACATGTTCATCTTTTAGTTTGATTGGTTCTCAATTGATGTGCTCTTCGAAAACAACAGTGTTTTTATGCACTTCTTTTGTGGTTCTTGTTTCTTCTCTTCGAATCACAATCTATTTAAGAAAAATGCAGAAAACAACGCTACTAATACTAGGTTGAAGATTCTCAGGGCAGCCAATTTTGACTTCAAGATATGTTTACATCTATCTTTTCAATAGAAATACATAAATATAACGAAAAAATAAAAATAGAGAGAAACGGTGTTTGGCACAATTAAATATAAGAAACTGAAATGAAAATGATTTTTTAGTTTAGTGTAAAATGAGAGAGAAATGAAAAATAATTTTTAGTCGTTTTTCATTTTTTGTTTCCGTTTTCTCCTCTCTCGAGCAGAGAGAGAGACATTAATAGATTTTTTTTATACTGAAAATAATCTCTTGATAAGACTACCAAAAGTATTTTTAAAAAAAAATTTATGTCTGAGATTGAAAACGTTTTCATTTCTATTTTCATACAAAAAAAAATAATTTTGAAACAAATTTCAAACGTACCTATCATATTTACATTTATTCCATCAAATGATATAAACTTAACATATATGCCACTCAATCCACTAAAAAATATTTTAGTGGAATATTTTTAATATCCTAACAAATTATTTGCCTTCTTAACAAAGATGGTCGGACATCTACATATTTACGGAGTATTTTAATAAAATATTTTTATTAGAATATTTAAAAAACTCAACAAAGATAAAATAAATGTAAAGTTATTGGATTTTGTCGGCATACTACGCAATTTTCTCTTTTCACTCTCTCGTTCTCTCTCTGTTTTTTTTTTTTTTTTTTTTTTTTTTCCCTGAGAGTTTAAGGCATAGGCTTTTGATCAATCCAAAAGCCCTTGGTCAAGAATAAGTAGCTATTTATTTTACAGTGCTCAGAACCCACATTTAATGATGATTTAATTATTTTTTATTTTAATATGAATCTATATCTGTAACAATATAAAGAAATGCCAATAATTTCACTATTCATGCACATTACTTCGATCAAAACGAAATAATTTTGGTTGAAACTAACCCTTTGTAAACAATGTTTTCCTGGTCATTTTTTTTTTTTTTTTTGCTTTTGAATTTTTTTCCATTTTTTCTTTTGTTCACTTTTTTTTTCATCTTCTCTTTTTTTCTTTTGCTTTTCCCCCAAGAATTTTATTTTCGTTATTCACCTTCTTTCTAACTTTTTTTCTTCAATTATCCAATTTTTTTATAAATGTTATTCTACTTAAATATTTCTTTCTGATGGTGCCCTAAAACTTATTTATTTTTTTATTTTATATTCATATTTTTTTTTATTTTTTACTCTCCTTCAAAACTTTATTTTTTTCTAAATTTTTTCCCTTCTTGAGATTTTATATTCAAATTTTATATGATTTTAATAATAACACGGTAATTAAAATTTAACATCCGAATTACTCAACACGATGCCTTACACGCTAATTAAAATTTAACATCCGGATTACTCGACACGTGCATCGCACGTGAAATTGAACTAGTAATACATGAAATATCAGTATGTTCATCAAGTCACAACATTATCTATTATGTATGAATTGATAGATGTTTTTGTAATTTAAAGTATAGCACTAAAGTATATAGTATACTCCATTTTGTTTTTTTTCTCTTCACTATAAAAGATTTGAAATTGTTGTAGATCTCTAGAAGCTAAAAAGAAAATTTTATGATATTTCCACTACTGGTAACTGAGTACTGTTATGTAAAATGTAAATTAAAAAAAAAAATCCCAATTACACATCATTATACAAGAATTGGACTTTGTTCTCATATTTGTGCTTCACTGTAAAAAATTGATCTAGAAGGAACTGAGAAGTAAAGGAAATTTTATGACATTTCTACTCCTGATAGCTCCATTCTGTTATGTAAAAAGTAAAACAAGTCTTAATTTCACATCATTTAAATATAAAAATAAACATAAATTTATAAATACATTTATATAGGTTGGATTCTAGAGCACCAATAAGCACTCCTGAGTGTCGATCAGAGGTGGCGAGTCGATTTAGCACTAGAACGATAACTTAAAGTGCGAGAAAATAAATGAATACAAGTATTTATAGTGGTTCACCATTAATGCGAAGGTTACGACCATTGTAGGGTATCGGGGTTTCGCTATGTGATGTAAAAAGTACAATTACAATGGAGAATAAAAATAGGAGAGAGAGAGAGAGGAGGAAGAGGGGATTCAGAGAGAGAATCTAGAGAGAGGGAGTAAATATGCAGAATATGGGATATGAGATCTGTATATTATCTCTAATTCATTATCATAATCCTCTATTTATATGAGATGATCCTTAGTTGCCTTTTTCCTTGAGCTAACGTGCTGTTAATTGGCAATTTGATAGTTTCCCTGTTCTTCAGTTGACTTTTCTCTTTTCTTGTTTTTTTATTGGATATGCGGTTGCTTCTTTTCAAGATTGGTCTAATTCTTGCCTTTAATATTAGACTCAGGTGATTCAGACTTTGTGGCCTCTAAAAAACTGTAATATCCAGAAATTTTATTAATATAAATCTTGATAATTTACAGGATTTAGATAATGAATTTTCCCAATAATTTATGCATTTTGATGATATGAATTTTTATAATGCTAAGTAAGGCACTTTATTTCGTGACAATCTAATTAAATCGCGACATGCCACACTTAATGTTCTTAATGCGAAGCTATGTGATAGAAATTATCAGATAAGAATATCTCGTGAATTTCAACATGAAAGTAAAGTATCAAGATCAATAACCGGAAACTGCAACTTATGTCAAAGTGGAATTCAATGCGAGAATTGAAATTATTATTCCATAATGTTAGAAATTCAAATTCCAAAAATAGTCAGTAAGGAACAAGGATGGATAATTTTTTTGTTACAATCGTACTACTAACAATAAAATTTAGTCATACTGTCAGTTCAATTTGTGGGTGCTGTCAGTATACAAAAATACTAAGAGTTAAGCTCACGGA